ATATATATATATATACATATATATATATATATATAGTTTATTATTTTACCTTTATAATGGACTACTGTAGAAATACATTTCACATTATCTGTTTTATGACTTTTTTTTTTTTTTTACTATTTAACACATTTTTTAATACATGTGTATTGTATTCATTTGTTCTGATTTACCTTTTGGGCATATGTCAGTACAAGGAATGCACATTTTGATGCGATTTTCCTCTATCTCCATCTTATTACTTGGGCATGCTCTCACACAGGAGCTATGGTCCACCACAAAATTGTCTGGAAAAAAAATAAAATAAAACAAGTCATTGTAAATGCCAAATATGTATGTGATGTTTGTCGCACAAGAACACAGTAAATAAAGAGAGAGATTTTTTTTTTTTCAATTAATAAAATATAGAGAAAAAAGGCAAAAGTCACTTTTCCTCTTTCTTGCCTTTCCAACTTCTAAGATCACAAATAAACAGCATTAGAATATAAAAATGTTTAATTTATTATATGTCATTTAATTTATTGTATATTTATATAGGGACAAGTGTAAAGCATTAACACACATTACAGTACACTACAACATTCATAGCCTGGGCTCATTTGCAATTCTATTCCCTCATATAAACTGATAAAGTGAATACTAGATATTTAAAGACACTGAACTTGTTTATATTGAAATATTAAACAGACCAGATACATACTACTAGTATTGCTACCATATTTTTTTGTTAAAGCACAATACACTTGTATTTTAGTGTTTCAATTTGAACATCATACAATGCACTTTATTAAAACTTGTGCAATCAATTAAAACATTGCATGTTCAAAGTGACCATTACAGTTCTAGATAAGTCACAGTTTCCATTCCTGATCTGATATTATGTTGAATCACAGACAACAGGAAAAAAAAAAAAAAAAAAAAAAAACAGAATTGTAATTTGCTAATCATGACTGCGACATAAAGACATGATCTTAATCAAAGTAAACAAATAAAAATAAAAGTATCCTTCATTACTCCCAATTATTTTAACCATTAGGTGTCATGATGTATGACTGTCAAAAAAACAACATTGTCTCCAAGTGTAGTAAGTCACACTTCTACACCTGCTGGTTGGCCTTTTCACTGATGCTGCGGTGACAGTGGGTAGTCCATTATTAGCGATGTGTTTGGTTGGTGATCAGTGGCTAGGGGGATATTTTTATAATGTAGATTCAATGTCATTTATTAATGCGGGCTTTGTAACACCAATGAACACAACCTCAGGGTTCATGTAAACGGTTGTGAGGTAGACACTGGGCCATGATAAACTTGCAATTGAAATATATTATTATTATTATTATAAATATACCTTGTTCAGTCACTTTAGGTTCAACAAAGGTTAAAGTGTTGTTCATTTTGTTAATCATGTAGTGCAAAATCCATGATACAATATACAAACTTCTATAAGACAGCAAATCTGTACAGTTTAATTTTATTTATTTTATATCCCCAGAGTTGCAATTTCTAGTTCACTGCATTGTCCAAGCGACGTGTAGTCATTTTTCTATGTCCTTCCTTCAGGAGAGAAAAAGCTTGAGCTTATTTCAACTCCTTCGATTACAACAATCATTCCCACATGCATCTTCATATAAAATATTAGCTTAATTTCTTCACCTCATAGAGTAAAGACAGTAGAGATGTATACACTCAGTCTCCTGTTTATTTCACATTAACAGCTCAGTTAACGGAGAATGTATGTTGATGACGTGACTTTGAGTTGCACTGGAATTCTGAGATATAATCCTGCGTACATCCCCAATTAAACTTTCTAGCATTTTAGGGACACACTTCAGGCAGTCGCAGGGCTTTAAAGCCAAGTCAACCCAACCTGCTTGTAGGAAAGTCTCTTGTTGTCATGGTTATTTTTGTTACAGGTGAGAAAGAAAGTGCCACAAGCAACAGCCAAAAACACTTACTCTATAACCAGCTCACAAAATTGGTCTTTTCTTTTTTTCATAGGTAATATACTTGTAAAACAAACAGCAGGACATGATACTGCAAAAGCTACAACATGATTCAACCACATTATGTAGCACATCCTAGAATGATCATGTTGCAGTGAGAGTTTGGCCACAGATTCAAATTTACCATTCACATTGCTAAAGCAGAAGGACCATTTGTACACAGATGTTACTATGTTCATATTTTATGCAGTTCTGTAAAACAGGCATGCATGCTCAAGTAGTGGGACTTACGAGGACATTTCTTTACACAGAATGCTCCATAGGTATATTTTGCCCTGGGGTTGTGTTCCAGTTGGAAGGTGGTAGGGTTGTACACAAATGGCTGAGGGCACTGAGTAACACAAGCCCCACTGTCATTGAAGTTTGTACAGGCCTGTAAATTCACAAAAAAAATAAAAAAATAAATATATATATATATATATTAGCTTCATCACATATAATTCCATCCATCCATTATAATTTCCTTTGTCTTCCTTTCTGGAGGGGTTACTGGTGCTCATATCCAAATGGTGTTTGCATGTTATCTCCGTGCATATGTGGGCTTTCTTGGGGTACTCTGTTTCCTCCCACAGACCAAAAACATGCATGTTAGGCTAATTGGTAAATAAATTGTCTCTAGGTGTGAGTGAGAGAGTGAATGGTTGTTTGTCTCGTTTGTCTCTGTGTTCCTGTGATGGATGTGCAACCTGTACAGGGTGTCCCCTACCTCTCGCACAGTGACTGCTGGATATGGGCACCAGTGACCCCCACAACCCAAAAAAGAAGAAGCAGGTAAAGATAATGGATGGATGGATGGATGGATGGATGGATGGATGGATGGATGGATGGATGGATGGAAGTTTAACATGCAATGAAGTGATTATAAACTAAAGCTGAAAAAGGCATGGAGGATGGTTCACTGGTGAACTCTACATTTAATGGAGGGACTAACATCAGACAAAAGGGAATTGGATGTCACTGAATACATTTGTTGCACAAGTGACATTTATGGCAAGAAATTTTTTCAAACAAGAAATTCATTTGTAGGCATGTAGCAAAAAAGTCAGAAGTAGATACAAAAAAAAAAAAAGATCAGAAAGTTTGATCAGAAAATTCACATATAAACAAACATTTATTGGATAATGATTTGAAGTGACCATTTCTGTGTGTTGAATATGTCTACTTACAAAGCAGTCTGTGTCCTTGGGGCCAAAGCAGCCACCTGCACATTCACGATGGCAGCAGTCACTTACGTAGGGACCAAAGCAACGTCCGTCACACTGTTCAGCACACACCGTCTTAGTTACTGCGAACAAACATGTGCAAATTAAAACAGAAACTTTATCACATACAAGGTAAACTATTATCTAACATTTTAACAAACTTATGAGGTTGATGTTTGTATAAAAGCTACAAAAAAACATATTTATACAACTTTAAGATGTAAGAGAAAAATACTCATATTTAGGGAAAATATATCGCAGTAAAACTTTTTCTTACAGTAAAAGACAAAAAACATATTAAAAAAGTGGTAAATGTCAAGTTGCAACAAAAAGTTATTTTTTTAGGCTACATTTATCAGTTGTAAGAGAGACAATTTGTCCTTGTTTTTACTCTAACAGGCAGGTATTTTTTTTGTAATTGAAGCTGTTCAATTGAAATGTGCTTGCAGAGAAATAAGGGTGGTGGTGGTGGTGGTAAGGGGGGGTGTGTGTGTGTGTGTGTAGATAATATGCATGCAGAGATATGAACAGCCACAGCAGTCCGGTCTTTTACTATTGCTGGTTGTGTGTTTTTGTGTGTATGTGTGTACATAGCTTAACTGAAGCTGAAGCTTTTCTTTTTGCCACTATCTATCTTCAGTCATATTTTTTTCTCTGTATACATCATGTGGGTTTCTCACTGGATGTGACACAAATGTAGTGATTGTGATTTAACTAGGTGCATTTCTGTCATAATGGAGAGCTGCCCACACTTTCCTCATATGTCTTTTGTTAGTTTATGGGCTACCGTATGCCCGTGTGCAGTTCTTCCAATAGGCCATATGTCAGTGTATGTTGAGCATGCTACAGACTTAAACATCTGATAAGAGACACAATTTAAGTGTCAATTGTGGGACTGATGATGGAGCAAAAACATATTTAAGACTACTCTATGGTGTTATGATATCTAAAGCTGTAAAACTTGCAGAGAAATAATGTTGTTGCCCTATGATTTTTATTTTATTTTGTACTCTGTAAGGTTGACTGTGTGCATGTGTCCACTATGATTTTTTTTTAATGCTAGTATATGTATTAATTTAAATATATTTTATGTTCAACAATCAGAAATTCATCCAACATATTGCAAGTTTATAGTTCAATCACAGCCCCAAACTGGCATGTAGCCCTCATTATATGTTTATTTCCATATACAAGTATGAACATAAGAATAATGTTAAATATACATGGGACAACATATATACCTGAAATAAACTTTTTATATATATATATATATATATATATATATATATATATATATATATAGTCATTTGCAAACCTATCTGAAGGTATCAAATTAGTCATAAAGCATGATTAAACAATGTAATCTATAAGAGTACAAATATTATTAATATGCAACACCTTAAACCTTGAGCAGAAGAGAAGACTTATGTATTTGGAGATGCAAGCACAAGCTTTTTTTTAGCAAATGTTGCTTTTTTTTTTTTTCCCACAGCATTCTTGTGACAAGATACTATCAGGGTGATAGATGTAGGCATCAGAAAAGTTGCCAACAAACATGCAAGCTCATGCACACACTTCACCCCATGCCTAACGTGCCATCAGCACCATTCCATTAACGTTGCCTGGGCTAAAATGAAATGGCCTGCTTTATTTAAAGACACTCTGCCAAACAAATGACCTTGCCAGAGAGAGAAATGCAATGCTGTTTATCAATTTGGCTTTAAAACTTCCACTTAAAAAAAAAAAGAAAAAAAAAATGCCTGGTGACAACAAATAGAGAAGGAATCCATCTCATGAAATATGCCTGGAAGCCTCCATTTGAACAGTCTGCAGACAGCAGCATCAGTCACAGGAGCCACAACCTTCCAGATGCTATTTACAGAAGTAAAAAATATATAGTTTTTCCCCAATTCTGGTTTGAAAAATAACTTTGGTGATAAGAATATTATTATCAATTTTTTTTTTTTTTCCAGTGAAACATTCTTTATGTTTGATAAGAATTTCTGTATCATCTGTAGAAATTGTGAAGACGTGTGAACTACGTGCTAACTTTTCAGGGTTTTTTATTCTGCAGGAAAATATTCTGTAAATGTATATAAAGGTGTACATTCTAAGACTGACTAAGCACTTACACAATATATTAAATGGTTCTTAGTAATAGTCGTCAAATTCATCTTTCACCTCTTATGCGTTGTATGTATTTGACTTCATGCCTGCTGAAAGGACAGATATATCCAGGTTGTGATGGCACTTTACTTTTCTGTTTCAAAATACATCCATAAAAAAAATTAAAAAAAACCACACACACAAAGAAGATAATGTGCAATTACATGACTTTCTTTTTTCCAAATGATTGAGAAATCATATTTTTTTATGAAATAAAAATGGAAATATATTAAAATTATAGAAAATAACAATTTTAGTAGTACCTAAAGATCTCTAATTTGTCTAATTTATCTCAACATGAACATCCTCATCCCAAACGGAGGGTCAGGTTCTGCCTCAAGTGGAGAAGTTCAAGTATCTCGGGGTTTTTGTTCACTGTGAGGGAAGAATGGAACAAGACTTACAGATGGATTTGAGCAGCTTCTACAGTATTACGGACTCTGTGCCGGTCCGTTGTGGTGAAGAGGGAGCTGAGTTGTAAGGCAAAGCTCTCTGTTTAACGGTCGGTCTACGTTCCTACCCTCACCTATGGTCATGGATTCTGAGTAGTGACCGAAAGAATGGGATCATGGATGCAGGCGGTTGAAATGAGTTTCATCCACAGGGTATCTGGACTCTCCCCTTAGAGATAGGGTGAGAAGTTCAGTTATCCTGGAGAGACTCGGAGTAGAACCGCAGCTCCTCCACATCAAGAGGAGCCAATTGAGGTGGTTCGAGCATCTGGTAAGGATGCTCACTGGGCAAATCTCTAGGAAGGTGCTTTAGGCATGTCCAATTGGAAGGAAACCCTGGAGAAAACCCAGGACATCTTCGAGAGACTATGTCTCCCAGGCGACCTGCAAATTCCTTGGAGTCCTCCTAGAAGAGGTGGCCATGGAAAGATATGTCTGGGCCTTCCTGCTCAAGCTGCTGCCCCCGAGACCTGACTTTGGAACAACCGGAAGATAATGTGGATGTTTCCTTTTTGTATTGTCCAATTTCAATTTAATCCCAGTGTGGACTTCCATGACATAGATGAAGATCTATTAGCTGCAAATTCATTTGTGCATTCCTTGTTAAAATCAGGTCTCTCTTGCAAAAGAGTCCACGAGGCTCAATGGGACTAACCTGTTTAAATAAAGGTTGAATGAACAAAATCACCTCCTGCATTTATCAAGTCAAGTCAAGTCAGATTTATTTATATAGCACATTTAAAACAGAAACTGTTACCAAAGTGCTTAACAAAAATAAATAAAAAAAATTAACAGCATAACATAATAAAAAAAATATTTACAGCACATGGAATAAAAATATAAAACACAACACAGAATTTGAAACTATGAAATATTAAATCAGATCACCCTGAGTCAAAAGTCAAGGAATAATAGCAAAAAAGCACCAACTTGGTCAGAAAGAATGAAATACTAAATCAGATCGGATGACCGTGTGTTAAATAGGATTAAAACAAAAAGCATAAACACAATCAGCATCAAAGAAATACTAAATCTAAATCGTATCACCCTGTGTTAAATGTCAATGAGTATAGGTGTGTGTTTAGGAGAGTTTATTTATTAATTGTTCATTGCTGTTCTTTCTCATTTTTAAGGAGGTGATTTTGTTCATTCAACCTTTATTTATACATGTTAGTCCCATTGAGCCTCGTGGACTCATTTACAAGAGAGACCTGATTTTAACAAAGAGTGATGACAACAGTGGACAACAAAGACAACAATAGACAATCGTAAAAGAAAGCAATTGAGAAGGACAAATTAAAGAAAAATGGTATTTAAAAATAAAGTAAGGCTGTAAAGAGATGTTCCTAAAAACAGGAACATGACTGCATTGTTTTTTGCCATGAACTTAACAGATGTTTGAAGCCACTTGGAGAGGTCAAGGTCGAGAGCTTCAGATCTTTTTGCAAGATATTCCAGGAAACAGGAGCAGAGTAGGAGAAGGACCTTTTGCCTAGTTCAGTTCTCACTGAGGGAACACTGCAGGTAATAATGTCCTGAGAGCGCAGACTGTAGCTGCACTCATGCAGTGACATGTAGGAGGAGATGTATGAAGGCAACATGCCAAGAAGGGATTTAAAGATGAAAATGTACCAGTGAGAGTCTACGTAGTTAATGAGGACCAGTTAACCAATGAATACAGGGTGCAATGGTGGTACGGTAGTTACAACCAGTTTTGAATCTTAGCGCACCATGATAGACAGTGTCCAACATCTGCAGGGTGCTATTAAGTCCTAAAACTTGAATATGTTCAAATATCTATGTATAACTTACGAAAGGGTAAACATTTGTTACATATAATAAACTTTTAATGAAACAATGCTACCAACACACAAAAAAGGCTGGCAACAAATGACAAATATATGAGTTATTATTTTTTTTTACCTTTTTTTTTATTTTAATAGCTGTTTATGTAGAAAAGAAAACAAACAAACAAAAAAAACTGCTACACTGATAATTTGCAGCAGACACAGAGATTCTGATCCAGTCTGGCTGTTTGAATGTGCACGTCAGTAAGTCTAATTGGTTTCAAATAATGTCAGTCCAAAAGGCATGCCTCCAAACCAGAGCCCGTGTAATGTTTCATTTTCACATTATAGTAGTAATGTACTTACAGCTTTGACACTGATCCTCCTTGGGGCCCCAGCAACGGCCGTTACATGAACGATAGCACTTTTGACCTGCAAGTTTTCAAGCAAAAGGTGGTTGTTAATTCAAATGACAGCTTTACAAAATGCCATCGTTCTAATCCAAAAATATAACCTTTAAATAGTTCAGAGACCCCGAGCTGCAGTGTTTCTGCAAATACTACTACAATGGTCAAACTAAATCAAATAGTAAGAAGGGGAACAATGGCTATGTGCTTCTCAGTCTTGCTTGAAAACCAGTATGTGAGCATAGTTATCTAAAATAATTTAATTAACTCAAGGACTGTTCTTAAGATTCAGTGATTCAGTTTTAAAATAAAATTTAGGATTGTAGAATATATGTATTAATAATGTAATGATAATGTGGCACTGTGAACATACTGCAAACACATTGATTCCATAACTACTACGTGGTTATAATAATAACTTGTAAATTAACTTGTTAAACTAATAACTTGTAGCGATGTTTAAAAGTATTTTTAAATAACATTTGTTTTAATTTTGATTAAAAAAAAAAAAAACAAAAAAAAACAACTTCAAATACATTTGCCATAGTTTGGTTGTGTTTGAGATATTTAATGGCCTTAAAATGATTTAAGTACACATACATCAGGTTTGGATAAATGTAGTAAAGATTAAGTAAGCGATGTCATTTACTCAAAGCAGTAGTCATTGCCTCTCTGTATTCTCAATGACTTAATTGATCATAAATTGATTGTGTGTAGACAGGGAGTTTGACTAAGTGCAAACGTGCTGCCCTCCGTTAATCAGCCTGCCTAAATGACAAATATTAGCTTTTATCATCTACTGCCCAATGTGAACATCGCCATGTTGTGAACTCATCTTGTTCTCTAAAAGTCTCTGATAAACATTTCAACTCTCATTTCATCCTTTTTCCATTCTCCACTGTCTTTTTTTTTTTTTTTTTTTTTTTTTTTTGCCCCTTGTCTTTTTCAAGCTTTAGGTGTGTCAACCCTATTTTGTCAAAGAGACAAAAGTTTATTTTTTATTTTTTTATTTTTTCTATGCAAACCTTGAAACATAACAGAGTAGGTTTATATTTGGCCAGTCCTTGAATTTTAAACTCTAAACATTTAATTATTATTATTGTTATTATTATTTTTTTTATTATTATTATTTTATCATTATAAACCTACAGAAGAAATAACACAGGTTTTATTTATATATTTATATATATATATATATATATACATAGTAAGATTATGTTCAAACTAGATGGACATACATTTATTGACTGCTTATCTTTTGGTTGGAGTAGACTACATCCATGGGGGTGGGGGTCGATCTGAGGCTAAGAGGGCTGCATGAAGGTGGGTGATTGCGCAGAATTTCAATGCCATTACTACTTAATATGCATTCGAAGCCTCCGGCAAGTGCTGTGAGAAGATACACTAGTACATATGTTTACCATCTTTTTACTGAATTTTTTTTATGATAATTAATTTTATAATAATCACTGATGACTAGTAAAATAAATCTAACAGTTCAAGTAGTGATTTCATAAAAATAAAGATGCACATTAAGATGTTTAACCAATGAATGAACAGAAAAGGGTGAGGAGTGATACATTTAGTCTTACTTCACTAACAACCATGTCACCCATCGACCACCCTCCACTTCCACACAGACTCGCTCCAACAAACCCCACCATAACTCAATGTGTTCATTAACATCTTCCAGCTGACAACAGAGGGTCATCAACATGATTTGAGAAAGCAGTATCAGAAAATTGGTATGGTAAGTAGAACAACATGATGGGGTTGAAGGGTAAGGTTTTGATGATAATGTTTTGTTGCTCACTTGTCAGGACTGAATGGGAAAGGTTAAGATGTGACATCTTCTCTGGATCAATTATGTTCTCACAACTCACTGGCTTTACTGCCATGTAAAAGTCATTTGATAGGGCTTCAAGTAAGCCTGGCAATCCATTTATTCACTATGGTTTAAGCAAAAAAAGTTATCAGCTCTCAGTTTCTTATAAATTAATGTTATATTTTATATCATGACAAAAGGGAAACTTTAGAGGTGTAAATTAGTGGGGAAAAAATGTTGGGAACAATTATACTTCTAAATCCCAACATTCAAACATGGAGCAAAAAAAAAAAATTAAAAAAAAAAACCAAAACAGCTAAAGTATTTGAATATAAAATGACCAGTTTGACTGAATCTTGATTGATGTATCCGGCTGTTGCAAACATCTTCCTCAGGTCAGCAGTTTGAAGCTATTTTCTTTTGTAGCAGGTCAGTGTGGACTACAAGTACACTTTCACTGGTCCATTATATTTATTTTGTTTTATTTTATTGTTAACTAGCACATCCAACAGTATTACTGAAGTACAATGCAACATGCTGAACTATATTCAGCCTCAGAACTGAAGTGCAATGATCCCCGGAGCTTCTACACTACATTCTATAAGTTTAAATACATGGGAAAGAGTGTGGAAGGGAGAAAAAAACACACCTGGATCTCTGAATAACTATGAAAATAAAAGTTAAATTGTACAAAAATCACAATGCTCGTTACTTACACATGACACTGCTATTAGTGGGCACTACTACAGGATGAATCCGTGGATTCTTGACAATGTCCTGCCAGTGGATGGTATCAGCATGACAGAGGAACTTGTTCTGGTCAACATAAACTCCTCCATTAAGAATTTCTGTGGAAAAGATCAAGGGTGCAAAGTCAGTACAAATACACAGTGGGCTAGTTGGAAATTAAGCAGTTTATTTTTTATTTTTTTTGGGGGGGGGGGGGGGGGGACTAAAACAAATTAACAAAATCAGCAAAAATCTGTATTTTTTGGGTGAACACCCAACAATATTAAAAAACAAAAAAGTTATTTTCTGAGGCAGAGAAGACAAACCCATGTCACAATGATGATATTGCAATCATTTAGTCCCATTTTGTACTTTCTTTCTAAACATCTTTTCTACATTATGCTGTGACAGGACATAATCAATTAATCTTTAGTAGAATCACAACATTAAATCCTTCTGTGAGTTAAGCCTCAGTAAGACCCAATAAGTTTGCATTTCTACATTTCGTCCTGGTGGTGATGTATCACACCGATATATTATGAACTGCTTTGTCAAACGAATGATCATCAGACTCAAAGGGAGGATTGATTTCTTTTCCACATACACACATGCATTGATTTGAAGCAGAGGGTGGTTTATATTATCAGTGTGTAGGAATTTAGAGCGTGCATAATCCTGATTTATAGTTGAGACAGGAAAAATAGAAAATAGAAAAAAAGACAAATAAAGACAGCCGAAAGCTGCAAAGAGACAAAAATTGTGAAAGGATCACAAAGTAAAGCCCAGTAGCAGATTTGCATTATTTACAAAGGTTGTTTGTCCTCTACCTTCATGCAAACAGATTACTGACTCAAGGCTAAAACTGATGAGACACAGAATCGTACACAAGGTGCTATGCCAGCATCACACAGAACTGGCTAAATGCAATATTGTCCCACAAAGCCTCGATTAAATGATGCACCTTGGATATTAGCTGGTATACAGGTCTCATTCAAGTCCAAATCCCCAACTTCTGTTTGCTTATTCCATATTTCTTCATGTGTGGTAGTGTTGGGGAAATAAATTAATCCTGCTTCTCACCACAGGAAGGATATCACTCATCTATGAGGAGGTCATGTTGCAAAAATCAAATTGTTTTCACAATAGGATGCTCCTGGCAACATAGAGCAATGGGCAAACCCAACAAACAAACATAAGTAGTTGTGACAAAAAAAAATAAAAAATGCCAGCAGGACTTTTCAATTTTGCTCAAGCAAGATATGCTGTACAACGACTGAGAGTTATCATTTATCCTGTCTGTCTGCATTCTACACAGAGCTGAAATATAATACATTTTGTGGTTAACACATTGAAAACACACATGGTCACATGGGGTAAGAAGTAAAATGAAGCCACAAAAACAAATACAAATGAATAAATAAATAAAAATATCACATTTGTTAATGGAAACTTTAAAAATGTCATTATAAACGTTACCAGAGATTACTTCTCAGTGCAGAACAGAAAAAAAAGTTCAGCGCTAAAACCATACTTGTATGTAATGACAAGTATGCAGCACCACAAACTTGTGAATGCATGGTGATGCATTTTGGCAATCGTGAAATGTGTCAGTCTTTTCATTTGTTTATCTATTTGTAAATAATTTGCTATGCATGAGGACTAAAATTCTGGTAAAAAAAAAAAAATCCAGTTAGTTGAACTCGTTTTATTCAGGGGGTTTATCTTGCTCTCTGAAAGCATCCAGGGTTTCTGTGTGTAGAAATTCTAAGGTTTTGCACAATTTGTCCTATCATGAGTCTGCAACAGACCAGCTGAGTCAATATTAACAAGCTGAATGTGAAAAAACATTGTTTATCGTAAATCGTAATTTAGCTGGACTACTTGCACATGAAACTTGTATTTACAACCGTCAAAGAAAAAAAACAAACACTTTTTTACTTTTTGTTTTCATGTACATTTTTTTGCTGTTTGTTTTTGTTTCAATTATGTGAACCCCTAAATATATATTGAATGGGTTTAGGCAAACGATGCTGTAATTATTCTTAGGAGTTAAATTTAATGCAGCGTATATGAGAAAACATTGTACTCATGTTTAAATACAACTCGGAACAGAATTTCAGCACTCTAAATGCAACAATATGAGTTAATAAAAAAATGATTCTTGGAATCTGACGGAAATAACTTTATGAGGTTATCAGACTGAAAACAAAGCAACAACTTCTGTTTGTGGACAGCAAGTAAGTGACATATTTGTACATATTAAACATATATATATATATATATATATATATAAACATGGTGCACAACATTTGTATACTTACTACATATGCCAAACCTGTATATGTTGTGTTGTAAAATACAATGTTTGATATTAGTTAAATTGTTTTTTTTTTGTTTGCTGTCATTTAATTATTGGCAAGTGTTTGTTTGTGTGTTGTTTTTTTTTTTTTTTTTAATCAACATATGACTAAATAACATATATATTTTATGATACCTGCAATATCCTGGTAAACCCATGCCACTTTGCTTCCATTAGAAGGAAATGCTTGATTTGCATGTTGGCTGTGTGTGCAGCTAGTGACCTGAGGGAGAGCAGTGGTTAAATTCTACTGCTGATTGCTTGGTAGATTGAAAAAAAAAAAAAAAAAAGTCTTAATTAGTTTATTCACATGACTATAGTGAAGTTATTTTGTTCTCAACAACTCCCTCCACAAACACATTTACGCACAAACAATTCCAAGTCTTTGAACGTCTGTATTGGTTTCAAAAAGTAAAACAAATTCCCATATCAGGTTTCATGACCACTGGACGAAAACAATATGAAATTCAGAGAGGCAGAACCAATGTATGCAAGCAATTATTTTGATGGTAAGTGCCTGATGTGATATTCCCCTCCATTTATTGCTATGTGGAGATGAGTTTGATTAAGAGTGGAAGGCTAGTAACAAGCCAATGAGCAGAGAGAGAGAGAAAAAAAAACCACAAATGACATTGTGAGTGTCAGTAATGTGAAGTGTTCAAAGACCACAAGGAGGGAAACAAGTGAGGAGACAGAGGGAGAAGAGGAAAGTCAAGAATGTAGGACTGAGTGTATGATGCGCTGTATGGGAGGCAAGGCACTAAAGAGGGCGAGAACAGAGGTATCAGGCTGGAAAGGATGTGCAGCAAGTTAGGCTTGTTAAAGATAGGAGTGGTAATGTTCTAGCAAGTTAAGAGAGCATGATGGGAAGATGGAAGGAGTACTATGAGGAGCTAATGAATGAAGATAATGAAAGGGAAATAAGTGTAGATGTCATAAAAGCTGTAGACCAGGAAGTGAGAAAGACTAGAATCAGATCAGCAGCAACATGATGTGATTTTTCACAGTGATTATACTGGTTAGAGATTCATGAGTCTAACAGCCTCAGGGTAGAAGCTGCTCCTCAGTCTAGTGGTTCTACACTTAATGCTCCTTAACGTCCTTCCTAAGAGGAGCGGGGCAAAAAGTGGGTGTGCTGTGTGTGTGGTCCTTCATGATGCAGGTAGCCCTTTTCCTGCATCTAGAGGTGTAAATGTCTGACGTTGGGGTGGCTGACTCCAACAAACTTCTGTGCAGCCTTCACCACTCTGCAAAGCTTTGCTTTCTGCAGCTGTGCAACCGCCATGCCACACGTTGATGCTGGAGAACAGGATGCTCTCCACTGCACACCTGTAGAAGGAGGTGAGGACTGAGCTTCCCAAACCAGCTCGTCTCAGCCGTCTGAGGAAGTAGAGTCTCTGATGTGCTTTCTAGATCAGGCTGGTGGTGTTGTTGCCCCATCTTAGGTTGTCGTTCAGGTGTACACCCAAGTACTTGTAGCTGGAAACCACTTCCACCGCAGATCCTCTTATGTTCAGGGGGGTGTAGGAGTGTTTGTTCCTTCTGAAGTCCACAATCATCTCCATTGTCTTCTGTAGAGCAATATAGGGCTGGGTATATAATGTTAATTATCAGTTATGAGTTAAGCTCATAAGATATGCACGTATTGTTTGGGCACCACCTCTCTCTTGGAGAAGAAAAATCAGTCTCTATTTACCCCAAATAAATGTAAACTTAACGTGAGTTATTTTCTCATGTTTAAAGGGCATCAAATCAGTTAATACACACAGATATGCCAAAATAATCACAAATTCAGTTGATTGTATGTATTTTATTATAAAAATAATAATTGGTGATACATGTGATGAAAATTATGCATGACAAAATTTAACTGAACATCAAATTGCTTTGAATCAAAGGTCTAATTGATTATTCAAATTATTGAAACTTAAAAAGGCAGACTTAGGACTGTTTCTGTTTGTGAAGTAGTTAAAAATGTGTCTAAGGTGAGCTAAGTTTGTCTGATAAGTTGTGATGGAGGTTCATCAAAATTGCATTGAAAAGTCTGTGTCCTACCAGGATGAGATGGTCAGGATGTTCCGACAGCTGCTTAAAATGGTACCAACCTCAGATATTCCAGTTAACTGAGAGGCAGATATTTCCTCAAAGTTCACCTGCCATCTTAGAGGGACGAGGGTCCATATGTGAGTCAGCTGGGATTTACCACTATGCTGTGTGATGGTTGCCTGGTAGACAGCTCTCAGGTTAATCTCTGGTTCTGATTCTGTTTAAGCTGGGGTTCTTCTCTCTCCAGTTCTCTGTGCAGAAGTGTGTCTCTCTGAAGTTTTCTCTCCAAAATTCCAGTGCAGTGTGTAGACTTTTGAGTCTCTTCCAAGCATGTGTCTTCTCCCAAAGTTTTCTTAGGCGAAGCTCCAGTGAAGTGTGTTAAAGTGAAACTTAACTGTCCATGTAAAAACAGAGATGAAGGTCCACCTCTCGGAAGAGGTGGTCCTAACTCTTGGCTTTGTTAAATAAATCTAGAGTCCCTTTTCTCTGCCTTAAAAGTTTTCCTTTTAAAAGAGAACATAAGACAAATGTATCATCTTAAAGAAAGATGACTTAAAACACACATTTTCATGAATAATCATTCAGGTATGGAATAAAATGGAAATTACATCTTTGAATTAATACCATGCAATGTTTCACCCAAAGGTGTCACTGTCCATCTCCTGAAAAGGAATGTCATTAAATAAAAGGTTCTTATGGTGTCATCTCCATGGG